TTTCAAGAGCGAGTTCACATTAGTTGCAATCATCATCCAATGTGTGCAATAAGAAAAGGTCCTCTGTGTGGAACCACTGGACAGCTGAACGCAGAGGACCGTTCCAGTAACACCAGTTCATTCACACCTTCACTGCCTTCCCGTCTGTCACGGCTTTCCAGTTGGCAAAGATCAGGGCAGTGCAGAACATCTCATACAAGAAACACCAGCTATGGAAGGAGGGAGGTGGGCAGACAGTGGATGCTGCTACACCTGGACCCGCAGGTCCTCCCAGGACGTTAGCTGGCGTAGCGGCTGCCAGCGGCGTCCAGCATGACCGGAGAATGGCTTCCATTCCCCAACCCATGCTACGCTAACACCATCCTCGCTGCTTTCACTTCACCCAGCTGTGAGTCCTCCATAAAACATGACGGCTCCATGCTAACATCTGTTAGAAAAATCAGCTTTCTGAAAATATACATCCTTTGTCTGCTTCCTGTGAAAACAAAACAACGCTGTGTGGTTTGTAACTGAGTAACCTTAGGAGGAGCGGGGGGGGGGGTGAAGAGGAACGCACTGAGCAGGCAGCACCGACCGCGTTAATGAGCCCCGACCAGGAAACGCGTCAGGATCAGAACAGCAGGTGGAGCGTCTGTGGTTGCAACACGTTCTTCACCTCCAGACGTACAGTTTGGCTCCTCCGCTGACGAGGCGGCAGAGTTTGATATAAAAACCACTAATGGAACAGACCCTTGGATTATGCTGACGGTTCAGGTTTCACTCAATGGTTACAATCTGGATTACAGAGATTAAGAGAGGTAAGAAGTGGGAATAAAATCCAGAAGCAGTGTTTGTCTATCCCATAATATGCTCTAGCCGCTCTCCCTGAAGTCAGGCCTGGGTTCAGCCTCCAACAGGTTCCTCCTCTACTGCTGATGTAAGAAGATCAGAGCTATAAAAGCTTCATAAGCGCTTCAGCACAGGACCTGTCAGCTTTCCAAGTCAGACTTCAGATCACAGCGACCTGTTTTATTTAACCAACCAAGAACCCAGAAGCTCTGAGTAGAACTGAACACATTCTGGGTCTGGGAGGATCCGGCAGAACCAGCAGTCAAATCCCATCCTCAGCACATGATCGGTGCTGAGGATGGGAACTGGGTCAGTGGAAGATCCTGCCTCAGGTGTGGGCTTTGACTAGGCCCTGGGAACATCTCCATCATTGTTTTCTCAGCTATTCTTTTAAGGGTTTATTTAAAGCTACCCGTACAGCAGTGGTGTCAAAGTACACACCTTTCTTACTTACGTAGAAGTATAGATATTTACAGACCTTTCAGACATTTCAACATCTTTTTCTGAATCCCACATTGTAGCATGGCATAGACAATTCACGTTAGCAGTTTGAAGAACACCTGCTTGCTTCTGATGATTTCCTTTAGCTAACCAATGAGTGTTTGCGTTAGCATAAAGTTCTGCATTAGCATCAGATTAGCGGCGCCTGGCTGCTGCTAATGTCAGTGAGGGAGGTAGTTTTACAAGCAATCCTCCTACAGTGACTGAATAATGTTCCATTAGCATTTAGTAATAATAACAGTAATAATAAAACCTTAGATGATGGATTAGGTTAACATCAATAATCCAATATGGCCGCCATGCTAGCCGAATGTTTTAAGAGTGGCTGGTTTGAATTCTTTGTCGACTCTTTAAAATTTTAATTTGGATTTAAAAAACTGTTCTGTAAAGTCACTAAATGATTTCCACATTTTCTTCAGTGTTTGAATGGATAGAAGGGTGAGAATCTCCTGTCGACTGGACTGGCTAATAGCAGTTAGCCAGTCATGCTACATAGCTAACAGCAGTTAGTGTCACTACCGGATCCGTGCGGTAAGCAGGATCTGTACAATCAGCTTATTTACACATAGGCAAGCAGATATTCATCCAGGTCGCTAAGAATAATGTAATTATGGTACTAAGAATATTTATTTCTATTCTTAACTCTCTAAAGAATGCTAATACACATCTTTAAAACATTTTATGATTTTTCTGAGGCAATTTGATGCTTTTTCCATTTTCTTCATTAAACAGCTTCTCTGACGTCATCATGGGACATGCTCAGAGCAGTAAATCTGATTAAACCATGTTAATCTGCATTTTAGATGGTTCTTTCTTTAGATTACGCACTATATACCCTAATGTTCACACAAAATTAAAACTCAAAAAGACTAGATTTATACTTAAATCCAAAGCTGATAAAGTTAGCTCCAGGAAGTAGCATAGCATCCCATTTCCTGTACAGATCAGGAACAGAGTGATAAAACAGAACAGATTTTAATGCATTTATTTTCTCAGTAAATACATTATTAAGCTGTAACACATTATAATTTATTACGCTTAATATTTTCAGTGAGGGAAAAGCGTAATTTAGATCTATTTTAGAAAGTAAAATTGAGGGCGACCCGGATGTATATATGGTTGCCCTGATGAGCTGAAGGTACTGCTGCTAGCCATGTTGCATTTGGTGCTACATGTCACGACCCGAACCGTGCCAGTAGTATCAAATGCAACATGGCTAGCAGCAGTTAGCATCAAAATGCTAAATGGCTAGCAGCGGTCAGCACCAAATGCTACATGGCAAGCAGCAGTCAGCACCAAATGCTACATGGCTAGCAGCAGTTAGCACCAAATGCTACATGGCTAGCAGCACTTAGCATCAAAATGCTACAAGGCTAGCAGCAGTTAGCACCAAATGCTACATGGCTAGTAGCAGTTAGCACCAAATGCTACAGCCACTGGGATAGGAAACCAACGTACTCAGGCAGACCCACTAATTCTTCTGGAGGACATTTTTTGGAGGTTCTGCCTTTCTGGTTCCATGATTAGAAGGAGACTTGAGACCTTCCTCAGGTCCTTCAGATTAGCTAACGGAGGCTTTCAATCCAAAGGGTCTTTAGAAAATGATGGAGCACATCTGGTAAGAGGATCGGTCTAAACTCAGGATGAGCTGGTCTGGTGCTCAGGAACGTGTTCAGTGCTGTCCCCCCCGTTTCAGGCTGGGCTACCTGAGCCAGGACACCTTCACCCCCCCCCCCCCCTGATTGTCTGAGCATTCGAACCCGTGCGGTCTGTGAGGTGAGTGTGTGTCAGTGTGAGGTCCGGGTTCTAGCAAACACTGTAGTCTATTGCTTTGAGAAGAAGGCAGCACTTCACGGAGGAAACCAGGAGGTATAAGGTAGGGCGAGGTCAGAACCGGGCTACAACTGGGTCAGGACCGGGGTAGAGCTGGGCTAGAACCCCCCACCCCCTAGAATGAGGCGCCCATCTTTGTTCGGGTCACCTTGCCTTTCAGGCAAAACATTATGACCATCAAGTGGGGACCACTGATGTTCTCCTGGACCTTCTCCGATGATCTGGGACTGAGGAGCAGGTGGACTGGTGGATAATGGGAGCTGACCAGTGCCTTCCCAGTTTAGAACCGCTTTTAGAGGACAGATGGTCCGGTTCTGGCAGTAACTGGACCCACTGCACAGGGTATAAATGCTGAACCCAGATTGTAATCTGACCTTTGACCTTTTCCAGACACAGCTGGAGCTCCCATTGCTGAGAGACGGGATGCTGGTTCTGGTAGGGAGCTGCCAGAACCAGGAGACCAGAACCTTCCAACCCGTCCTGGCTGATTGTGGACCACGGCCTGCGCAGCAGAACGACTCCTCCACCTTCATTCCCCTTCAGCTGCGTTCCTCCGACCGTCGGACCAATCTGGATGTGATGCAGAGAAGGTCTCCATGGAAACCAACGCAGAGCGACGTTAGAACGTCACATGGTGTTTCTCAGGAGGCCATCTGAGGAGCAGTGTCAGGAACACGCAGCTTCCCTGGAATAGGTAACATCCAGGAACAGAACTTTGGAGACCAGTGATTGGTCAGCGTCTAGTTACCATGGAAACAGCTCTGCATAAATCAAAGCAAGCGCTACAGAACCAGATATTACTCCAGGTTCTTCATCACAGGTTCTCTGTTCTAGCTTCTTTATATTAGGGTCTTTATCGTAGAATTTATGCTCTAGATTATTTATTCTAGATTCTTCAGTCAGAGTGTTTTTATTTAGATTTTTTAATCCAGATCATTTATTCTATGTTATTTATTCCAGGTTATTTATCCTAGATTTGTTTTGGTTCTTTATTCTAGAGCTTTTATTTCAAGTCCTTCTCCTAAATTCTTTATAATAATTGTTTTATTCTTAGTTATTTATTCTTACCTATTTTATTCTAGGTTCTATGTTAATTTGATTCTCCACCCAGATTTTTTATTCTAGGGTTTTTACAGATAGTTTATTATAGGTTCTTGATTCTACGTTCTTCATTCTAGGTTCCTTATACTTGGTTTGATATTTTAGATTCTTCATTCCAGGATTTTTTTTATCCTGGGTTCTGTATTCTATGTTCTTTATTCTAGGTTTTCTATTCTATGTTTTCTTTTCTAGTTTCTTTGTGAAGCAGTTCTGATTTGCTTTATCTGGGTGTTCATTAGACTTTCATCATCTAGAGAAACGTGTCAAAGGATTAAACACAAAGAATTAAAAAAAATGTAATTGAACTGAAATATTTTTATCTAAAATATTTTACTGCTGCAAAAATAAACATTTGGATTCTTACAGAAAAATAAAGGGTTCTATTTGTTCTCATTTGGACACATCGACATGAAAAGATGGATGGAATAAGTTTAGCTAGAGGCTAGCAGAGCTAGCAGAGCTAGAGGCTAGCAGAGCTAACAGAGCTAGAGGCTAGCAGAGCAGAATGTTGGTTCTGCTTCTTATCGGATCTGAATGGGAGGAACAGCTGCTGATGAATCAATCTGTGGACCTGATCTGAAGATCAGTGAGACACGATGAACGGAGTGAGACATGGAGGTGGGAGACCTACAGGTCCTATAGCACCTGCAGGACAAGTCGGACCTGTAGGACCTATATGACCTGTCGGACCTATATGACCTGTCGGACCTATATGACCTGTCGGACCTATAGGACCTATATGGCATGCAGGACAAGTTGGCCTATAGGACCTATAGGACCCGTGGCGCTGCTGCTTCTTGTTGCATAAATCCAGATTGTTCCGAGGGCTCCTGAACGCAGCTCTGCGGGTTCCTGCGGTTGCGGCGCCGTGTTTCCACCGCCTGACAGGCTAAACCATCCATGGACCAATCAGGACAGAGGTTCAGTTGGTCCAATCCTCTGTCACCTTTTAGTCAACTGTAGGACAATGAAGGGAAACCAAGTCCTGAACGTGGAGGTGAGAAGAAAACCAAGAGGAAACAGGCTGTTCACGAGGAATAGGTCCTTCCAACCTGGACCAGACAGCTAGTCCTAGTCCTAGTCCTAACTATGGAATGAAGGGACGCACAGTAGTGCTATAAGAGGGTTCAGGGAGATGGGCCCTCAGCTGCTGGGCCCCTGAGGCTTTGGAGACGCACGGTGACACAGTCCAAGTCCATCTGTCAGTCCTCGAAGACCTCCAGGAAGAGCGGAGGGAAGAGCTCGTTGGGACACTCCACCTTCATGTGCAGGAAGCGGCTGGCGTGGCAGGCGCCGATCATCCGCAGGTCCGTCACCTTCATCAGCAGCTTGGGCCAGAAATGGGCCACCTTGTGCTTCCGGTAGTTGATGTAATGTTCAAAGGCCAGCAGGAACTGCTCTTGGCAGCGCTCGATCCGCTCCACGCTGGTCAGGCCTGGACGATCTGGACAGAGAACAAGCGTTACCTGACAGCTAGGGGGCAGCGTAGAGCCCTGACTGTCCTACAGCCCAGAGAGGCTGGAACAGACCTGGACCTGGAGGACGAGCTCCGAGGTCTGCTGGAGCTTCTCCATGTCCACGTCTCTATCTCTCTCTCCATGTCTATTTCAATGTCTCTGCGTCCATGTCTCTCTGTCCATGTCTCTATTTCTGTCCATGTCTCTGTCTCTCTGTCCATGTCTCTGTCTCTCTGTCCATGTCTCTATCTCTCTGTCCATGTCTCTATCTCTCTGTCCATGTCTCTATCCCTCTGTCCATGTCTCTATCTCTCTGTCCATGTCTCTATCTCTCTGTCCATGTCTCTGTCTCTCTGTCCATGTCTCTATCTCTCTGTCCATGTCTCTGTCTCTCTGTCCATGTCTCTGTCTCTCTGTCCATGTCTCTATCTCTCTGTCCATGTCTCTATCTCTCTGTCCATGTCTCTGTCTCTCTGTCCATGTCTCTATCTCTCTGTCCATGTCTCTGTCTCTCTGTCCATGTCTCTGTCTCTCTGTCCATGTCTCTATCTCTCTGTCCATGTCTCTGTCTCTCTGTCCATGTCTCTATCTCTCTGTCCATGTCTCTGTCTCTCTGTCCATGTCTCTATCTCTCTGTCCATGTCTCTGTCTCTCTGTCCATGTCTCTGTCTCTCTGTCCATGTCTCTGTCTCTCTGTCCATGTCTCTATCTCTCTGTCCATGTCTCTGTCTCTCTGTCCATGTCTCTATCTCTCTGTCCATGTCTCTATCTCTCTGTCCATGTCTCTGTCTCTCTGTCCATGTCTCTATCTCTCTGTCCATGTCTCTGTCTCTCTGTCCATGTCTCTGTCTCTCTGTCCATGTCTCTATCTCTCTGTCCATGTCTCTGTCTCTCTGTCCATGTCTCTGTCTCTCTGTCCATGTCTCTGTCTCTCTGTCCATGTCTCTATCTCTCTGTCCATGTCTCTGTCTCTCTGTCCATGTCTCTGTCTCTCTGTCCATGTCTCTATCTCTCTGTCCATGTCTGTCTCTCTGTCCATGTCTCTGTCTCTCTGTCCATGTCTCTATCTCTCTGTCCATGTCTCTGTCTCTCTGTCCATGTCTCTATCTCTCTGTCCATGTGTCTGTCTCTCTGTCCATGTCTCTATCTCTCTGTCCATGTCTCTATCTCTCTGTCCATGTCTCTGTCTCTCTGTCCATGTCTCTATCTCTCTGTCCATGTCTCTGTCTCTCTGTCCATGTCTCTATCTCTCTGTCCATGTGTCTGTCTCTCTGTCCATGTCTCTATCTCTCTGTCCATGTCTCTATCTCTCTGTCCATGTGTCTGTCTCTCTGTCCATGTCTCTATCTCTCTGTCCATGTCTCTATCTCTCTGTCCATGTGTCTGTCTCTCTGTCCATGTCTCTATCTCTCTGTCCATGTCTCTATCTCTCTGTCCATGTGTCTGTCTCTCTGTCCATGTGTCTGTCTCTCTGTCCATGTCTCTATCTCTCTGTCCATGTCTCTATCTCTCTGTCCATGTGTCTGTCTCTCTGTCCATGTCTCTGTCCTCTTGTCTCTCTAACCAGAATCTATTGAACTGTTTCAGCTAAAGGAGGCGTAGCGCTCTGACGCTAACGGCTTCCTCTGGCAGACAGTCCATGGTGACTAGGGGACGGGTTAGCCGTGTCCCCATCAGAGAGCAGAGCAGACGGCCCTGCGTCCTCCTGCATGTCAGCAGCAGTATTGATCTTCAGTGAGGAGCCGTGCAGCACAGCCGGAGCCAAGCTAGCGGGACAAAGCTCCTCACATTGATTAGGCTCATTCATTGATTGTTTAATATGGATTTCATGTCAAAGCCGAGTGTTCAGCCAATCTGAGTGACGACAGAAGGAGACGCTCCAGAGACCCGCCTCTGACTAACCTCAGCTCCAACCAGGCAGCGCCAGGAGGAGCCTGCAGGACTCACCGGAGGAGAGGAGGATGACCGCCTGCAGGAGAGCCACCTCAGAGTCGTCCAGGTTGAAGGAGGCCAACGACACGCCCAGGTCAAAGATGGCGTCCGAGACCACGCCCAGCCCCCCGTTCTTCAGCTGACCCCGGGTCACCGCCATCTCGCCGTTGAGCGTGAGCGTCTCGCTCTCCGGGTCGTAGCGGACGGCGGCTCGCAGAGACATGATCTCCATGCAGCAGCCCTTCAGCAGGATGATCTGATCCTCGCATGGCAGCTGAGGACGGCAGGACAGGCAGCGTCAGAGCGCGCCGAGGCTAGCTGCCATGCTAACAGCGCTAACCCACAAACCCAAAGGTGAAATATCATAAAAAATAAACTAAGAATTCTTTAAAATCGTCCCTTCGTTTTTATTTGAGACATAATTCAGATATAATGACTTTAATTTGTACATTTTTCTAAAAGTTAAACTTATTTGAACAAAGAAAAACATTCTGAAATAAATCCTAAAGTTTTCCTACAAATATGAAAGAAAATAGAAACTTTTTCAGGAGGAATGTTTAAAGAGTAAGTTAGCCTTTTTGATCACCTGCACCCCCCATCAGTATTTGACTGAGCGGCCTATAAAGGGTTAAAACAGAAATGGTTCGGCCCACAGAACCTACCTCACAGAACATTGGCAGCTTTTTGGCAAAGTCCACCACCCGGGTTATGGCGGGGGTGATAATTTTAGTAAACTGACTGAAGGCTTCAATGTCCACCTTGTTCTCCTCGGCTGCATTGACCATGGAGGCTTGAGCGCAGTCCTCAGGCTGGAGGACAGGAGACAGGAGGACGTATGAGTCTGTGTCCACATGTGCACAGGTGCGTGAAAGCTGGGCTCACCCCGAGCGTCCTACCTTAGCATCCTTCACCCCTGCTGCGCTCTGGTCAGAAGTATAGAATAAATTACATGTTATTTCATTAAGAAGCATAGCTTCCTCGACCTGTTGGATGATCAACAGGAGGTGAAGTTTCAATGAAGAACCCGAGAGAAGTCAACTGAGAAAAGATCAAGCTGAGGACAGAGGAGAGGCGACAGACTGCCCAACTACACGAGTTTCTGGGACAGGATTCAAACCTTCAGATCTGCCATTCCCCCCCCATCATCGTTCAATTCTATTCAGTTTATTTCTATAGCTCCAATTCACATCATGTCATCTCAGGTCACTTTCCAGTTCACCAGATCATCCAGTCAGATTGATTCAAAGTTTTCTATCTAAGGAAAACCAGCTGATTGCATCGACTCATTGACTCTTCATGCTTGTAGCGACAGTGGAGAGGAAAAACTCCCTTTGAACAGGAAGAAACCTCCAGCAGAACCAGGCTCAGTGTGAGCGGCCATCTGAAGCGTTCATGGAATCCGGCCCCAGAAACTCTGCACTGAATCAGGAGTTTGTTAGCAACAGAAACGGCAGGAAGCTGGAGAGGAAAGGGGGGGTTAGTGTCAGAGGTCAGGAGACGGACATGTTCCGTTCAAAGACTGGTGCTGCGTTCAGGAGCACCCGTCCACCGTCCAGCTAACTGTCCTCATCTGCTCTACAAGGACAAGAACAACACAGGGACACGTTAGCATGGCTGAGGAGGAAGAGGAGGGGCTGGGAGGGAGGGAGGGGGGGCAGAGGAAATCAATTCAGTCACAGCTGTGGTGGTGAGGAGGGGAAGGGAGGGGGGAGGCAGCGGGGGGGAGGAGGGGTCTCACCAGGAACTTCCTCTTCTGCTTCCAGTGGTTGCCCTGGGCGTTGGTGGACATGTGGGCCTCCGTCACCAGGCGGATCAGCTCCCACTCGTCCTGAGTGGGCTCCTGCCGGTCCCACGCCGTCTTCTGCAGCTCCTCCTTGCGCCGCCGCTCCCGGTTCTCCTCGATCAGCTTCCGCTTGGCCAGCCGCTTGCTGTCGTCAAGGACCACTGGAGCGAGACAGGGGTCAGAGGTCAAGCTTTCATGGTTCCAGCGGGCGCAGTGCAAACCGCTGCTCTGCAAACACCTGATGGACGCGTCCGTCTCAACCCCCCCGTTAAAAACAGGGATAGATCCGATTTATTAGCAAATTAGTTTGCTTTCTAATTAATATATCATTAATTAGGACTTAGAATAAAATGTTTCCTTTTTTCCTTTTTAAGAAGCAGAAAATAATTAACAGAATAAAAACATCAGAGCGTCTAATTGGTCTGGAAATGGTTCCTGACTGTAGAGCTGCAGCATCTAGATAAGAACAGCAGGTGTTTGATCTGCAGGAATGAAAGCTGTGATGATGTCACTGAACGCTGTGATGATGTCACTGAACGCTGTGATGATGTCACTGAACGCTGTGATGATGTCAGAACTTTAACCCAGATTCTGAACCTAAAGCAGGTCCAGCTGCTGCAGATTATTAGATGTTAGTCTAACAGATTAGGAGCGTTTATTTTCCAGCCCAGCCGGGTGGATCGGACCGGTACCGGACCCAACGGCGGCGGCGGAGGGACTCACAGTCTGTGGCCATTCCCACTGCGATGCACTTCTTGAAGCGACATTCTTGGCACTGGTTCCTGGTCACCTTGTCGATGACGCACCTCCCCTCGTACTTGCAGGCGTAGGTGGGGTTCAGGTTCTTCTGGATGGTTCTCCTGAAGAAGCCCTGCAGAGGAAGCGTGTGCAGTCAGCGCGCCGCTGCGCCACACCAACCCCCGCCACCCGTCCAGCCTACCTTACAGCCCTCACAGGTGATGCAGCGGTAGTGGTAGCCCGTGGCTTTGTCCCCGCACACCACGCACAGCTCGTCCTTGTCCAGGTAGCTGGGTATGTACCCTGCAGAGAGACACCTCAGATCAAACCCCCGTCCAGCTCACTTCCTGCTCCACCTTTACAGCAAACAAGATCCAGCTTAGAACCAGCGCCGCTCCATGGTGCTAATCCTGCTTCCATCAGTAACTGGGCCAATCAGGGCGCTAACAGTTAGCGACGCTGCTGAGAAATGCTAACTGTTAGCCTGTTTATTAGCTTCCTCATTTCTAGGAATCCAGATCTGTTCTGTTTCAGGAAAGCAGGAGGAGAATGTTTCTCACGGCCGCATGTTCCTGGATCCTCTCATCACATCTAAACACATTCAGTTTTTTCCTGGATAATTATTCCAAAAGAGAGAAAGTTGAAAAGATAAACCTAAAAACACTGCTGGCTGCTTCTGTTTGATCCGGGCCCAGATTAGTTTCCCCCTTCCAGGTAATCTTCCAGCTAGCCGCGTTAACGCCTCGCTCCCTGTTTGGTGCCGGTCCTAATGAGATCAGAGCTCAGCCTCCGCAAACCCATCAATGCCTGTCATATTAAAACAATTCATCAAACATCAGCCTTATGTTGCCTCAGCATCGATCAATACGGAGCCTGGATCAATACGGAGCCTGGATCAATACGGAGCCTGGATCAATACGGAGCCTGGATCAATACGGAGCCTGGATCAATACGGAGCCTGGATCAATACGGAGCCTGGATCAATGCGGAGCCTGGATCAATACGGAGCCTGGATCAATACGGAGCCTGGATCAATGCGGAGCCTGGATCAATACGGAGCCTGGATCAATACGGAGCCTGGATCAATGCGGAGCCTCCACCATGACAGGTGGAGCCGCTAGTCGTCCAAAACTCCCGTCATGGGAAGCGTTTGGACCAGAGCAGCGTGGCCCCGTACCTTTCCTGTGGGCCCCCTGCATCCACTGCAGATGGGAATAGTCGGCTTTGACGTCGGGGAAGAACTCAGGCTGGTGGTGGAAGTGGCTGAGAGGAACCTCCATGTTGCAGAACTCGTTCTTGAAGGAGGACGGTCCGGCGTAGGCGCAGGAGAAGTGCTGGCCGGGGGGCCAGGCCTGCTCCATGCAGGGCGGGTGATGCAGAGGCTGGGGCTCATAGTGGCCGAACCCGGGGCCCTCTGCGGGGAACATGCAGTGCTCCCCCCCACTCTGAACGCCATAGCCCGTGACGCCGGAGTGCGGCAGCTCATACATGTCTGGGATGCAGAAGTTCATGATGAAAAGGTCCTGATGAACATGAAAAGGTTTTCAAGAAGAAAGAACCAACCAGAAGCGCTCCGTCATCCAAACAAACGCTCCTGAAGCTGCATCCAGAATAAGTCCAAACCTTTGATCCAGTAAATCCACAGAGCACAGACTACACCTAGCAGCGCCCCCCCCCCCTGCCGAATTGGGAGGCAGATACTTATGACGACGACGGGCTTTAATCTGACGCTCCGCAAATCCTGGATGTGCCACTTCCACTGACAACGTCACAGATTACAGTCTGCAGGAAGAACCGGGCCACCAGCTTCAGGCAGGACGGACCCAGAACCTCCAGAACCACCGGTCGGGTCGTCCCAGATGACCCCAGAACCCCCTGAGCTGCTGGGATGTTCCTGATCACAGCACTAAGTTAGCGGGTGGCTTCCTGGTACCAGAGACACTAGCTAAGAGGACAGGACTGGACCAGCTGTGTCCTCCTCCTCGGCAGACCTTCTCTAGTCTTTGGTTGGACTTTAATTCCTATCCCTCCACTTTGGACAGATTAACGGACAGAGACACACCATCAGCCAGCCCGGCCCAGTAAAGCACCACCCGCCAGCCCAACGCTGTGGATCCATCATTTATCGGTAGAAGATCAGACGATGTGAAGAACTCATCACCAGAACCAGTTTTCTCAAAGTTCATGTAAACATCCTCATTTCCATATGTCCCAGTGTTTCCACTCAGACGCTCTAACTGGGTGGATTGATTGTTGTTGCTAATGAGCAGCGCCATGCTGAGGGCGCGGTCCACTTCAGATTATATGCTTAGTCTGACTACAGGATCCACTCAGCCATATTGATCAGGCTTCCTGTTCAATACTGGAGGGATAAGCTTTAATACCAGGAGGAGGAGACCTGAGGACCAGACACAACCACCCACTCATAGCAGACATCCATCCATCCATCATCCATCCATCCATCCATCCATCCATCATCCTTCCATCATCCATCCATCCATCCATCATCCATCCATCCATCCATCCATCCATCCATCCATCCATCCATCATCCTTCCATCATCCTTCCATCCATCCATCATCCATCCATCATCCATCCATCATCCATCCATCATCCATCCATCATCCTTCCATCCATCCATCGATCGATCGATTAATTATCGATGGATAAAGGATGGATGGATGGATGGATGGAAGGATGGAAGGATGATGGATGGATGATGGATGGATGGATGATGGATGGATGGCTGGATGGATGGATGAAAGATGGATGGATGATGGATGGATGATGGATG